TGTACAATAAAGACTAACAAGTGGAAGTTAGGTAGTCCTCTGTTCATTCAAACATAATAGAAATTCCACACTAATTTTAAAACCAATTTCTACTGTACCTACCCCAATATTTTGCAATAAGAGGTTACACTTTTCCACGTATAACAATACAAAATTTCCAAAACTGGTTCACTTTGTAATGAAAAGCATACCAAACGTCTGTCTGCACGCACAAACAGAGTTGTCAATTGAAGTATTTTTTTCCAAAGCAAGAAGGCAAGCAAAAGTGATTGCGTTAAACTGGAACTGCCTAATGCGGTGTAATTGCACCAAAGTGGCAACATCGCTCACAAATCAAAATTTTTTTTTTTTTCAATAAAAGTTGCAACTGACTGCTTCCACAATTGGCGCTGATATAAGTGATAGAGTGGCACAAAGAAAAATGATGCCAACTGCACCGCAACAAAACAACGAATCAAACAAGTGAATGTGGAAAAAAAAAATGTTAATCAATAAATCACAAAAAATGGATATGTGCACCAACGAAATGGTGGCGTACAAGTTGGCCTGCAAAGTGAGAAGTGTGTGCCAAACGTTCCAACATATGGGCCGATGTATGTAGAAAAATAGGAGAAATACTTGCACCACCGAAGGCAAATATAAATTGTGGGACCACAACCATGAATATGTTGCCATCGATATTGTAACGGTATATACTCGTAGTAGTACAGTTGAACATCGATACAGTAGCTCAGAATATAGTGTTTTTTGGAATGTATTGAAAATAAAACTTAGGATGCCTGCAGAGTGGACGCTTAAAGCCGAGCCGAGCGCATTTTCTCATTTACGCATTACGCGAATTTACGCTCAGCTCGAGTTTCAGCGTCCACTTTTCCGGCACACATATAGTGGAGAGTTTAAAAAAATTTATTATGATCGTCAAGTGTTGCAAAACTTTAATATGAACCCATATACCTTCGTTTGAACTGTTCATACTATTGAAGATTAGCTATACGAAAGCATTATAAGAAATTTACACAGAGAGCAACCCAGAACAGGGTATATTAAGCTTGCCACGATGACCCAAAAGTAAACGTGGAAGACCCTATTAAATGTATGTCGTATATAAATCATCAGCATGACGAGCTAAGTCGATTTAGATATGTCTGTCTGTCTGAATGTGCGTGTAATCCCTAAGATTTTGAGATAGGATAGATTTGATAGGATTTGAAGAGGAGACAATAATATCTACCATGCCATGACTTTCAGTTCTGTACTGAGTATATTCTGCTACCCTTGTTGCACATTTGAGTTCCAACTGTATATGGGAATACATGTGAACATATGCATATCCGAATATATATTTACAATATGGTTTCGGCCTTTGAGGCCATTAAAGTATTGATATATCGCCTTTTGTATGTATTTGTTTGCCGTACATATATTTCCTTACAGTCGCCTTTTATACGCTTTCATCAATACCATGTACATTGGAAGCATTTTGTTGATGTAGAATAAAGAGAAAGTGAAAGCACATATGGTTTTGTGTGTGTGTGTGTGTGCGTTGAGATATGAAACTATCAACTCAACTTTTTATTTCAATATTTGCATTCAATTAAATGGTAGCTAATTGAAAAAAGCCGTCGCACCCTTTTATCAGCTGAACTTTTCCATTTACACACACACACAAAATATATGCAATGCAGTGAGAAGGGTACCCTATTTCAATTGTAAAACACTTTTTTACAAAGGTTTTTATGCATATATATTTTTAGTTCGAACTGGTATTCAAAAAAGATAATAAAACCCATTATGGCGCTTACTATAACAGAGGGTTCAAGAGTACATCCCTACACTTTCCCTTTTTGCTTACTTATGGAACGGTAGACCGTAACTCCATTTGAGCTGTTTATCTCCCCGAATACCACCTTTATGCTGCTAGTTTCTGAAGTAAACTAGATCGGCGTCTATACATCAAAACACACTCAGAATAAATGGATAAGGCAGTACGGGTTGTTCGCTTGACAATATTGAATTCTTAAACAATCATTATCTACATAAGTATATACAAAAATTTATACTAACACATGGTTTTAGAAGCAGCTATACTTATATTTCTCCAAAAATAATCAGCGTTGTATGCTTCGGCGAGAAGTATTTTAATATACAAAACATTAAGTCGATTCGACTGTTCTTCTGAAACGAAATATATTCGAACGATGACGTGACAGATAGTCAAACCTTACAAAACGTCAGGATAGTTCAACGCTCAGAAAAGACAAATAGACTAAGATGTTTCGTTCCATATTTTAACTTTAGTTGGAAGCGGCCGAACTATAACATAGGTCACAATCTCACGTCCAGCTAGGATCTTTACTTTTAGACAAATATCTTCAAAACTAAGCGTTTTTCGGAAGTTCTTCAAGCCAACTTACCATTTTTTGTTAGGTAGCACAACGGACCGGCGTTGTAAGCGGTCCAACTGAGATTGCTGTTAGGATCGACATCTTAACCTAACCTACCATAAATGTCACAATATAGTCCATATAACATGGTGGGTTCAAGATTATTGTTTAGGTTTTTTTTTTTGGGAAGTAGTTCAAACTTCTTTTATACCATTTTTTCTTTCTTGAATTAAATTTTTCGTCAGCCTTTGGATTTTTCTACTGTTGAACCTAGCACATACTACCATTGTAAAAAATGTATTTCGTAAACACAGTACAATACGTTCACTGCCTACAAGTATGTAAGTAGAGGGTGTATTTTTAGAGTCATAGAAATTTATTTTAAGTAAAACACAGCAAATTAGATCACAAATTTTAATGTACACGTAATTTGGTTTTTACACGGTAGATTGGTTCCACAACAAACCGTGTAAGTAAGACATTGATCGTTGCCATAATTTCATGCTATTTACAATTGCTCGGACCAGTATACTTACTTGTACCCACAAAAAAGGGAATTCCTCTAAATTTGTGATATGAATATATTTCGCAAAAATAAATCTGACAATTATAGTTTAGGCCTAAAAATGTTTGAATCATGCTACCAAACCACAAACGACGTCAACAAACCAAAAAGAATCTAACGGAGTTTATTTCCATCTCCCAGGTGATCAATAAGCAGGTGCAGCTGTTGATATGAAACGACCTCCAAAAGCTTATACAAATTAAGTGATGTATCTATGCCCAATTCGATGTATTGCAATATTATATTGGCACTATTTACCACTAGAACCAATGATATTGATGTGGAGTACCAAAAAGTCCAGTTTCCAAAAAATATTGACCTTAAAATCTCCCGGCATGTAAAACACACCAAATAGTTACTTTTCTGGAAGCAGATGATTCTGTAGGGTCTCTTTAGTATACACGCCGAAATCGGTTTACTTACGTATCCGTCAGGCCAGAAATGTCACGCTACATTGACATGTAGAAAGTTCTTTATAATTTCTCCGCACAGAATGCGAGTTTTGGAACCAAATTTCCACGATTTTTCAGTGCAATTCAGTTGCAAGTATTTTTTAACTAAGCTGGCTTCTTTGACAGCAATTCATCTACGAAATTCTTCATCACCAAAAATCACCCTTTATATGTTCATGGATCATAGACCTAAATGGTCTTAGACCTAAACTTATAACAAAAATAGGGCAACTCTAAAAAAAACACTCTTTATACTATGTGCCTTATATGGTACATAACTACCTAAACCTACATACATGCATATATCAGTCTCGGTCCATGCACATTAATTGGCTCAGCTTTTACGGAATTCAAACAAATTTTCATAGGTAGATTTTTAGCTTCGCTGACCTCTGCAATCAATATACGAGCGCTTAGATACTTGTATGTGTGTGTGCATGTGAGGATATAGATTTATAGGTAAAAAAAGTTTGACAGGATTGCGCGTGTGTATGTAGTTGTTGGAACTCGGCTTGTAAAGTGAAATTAAAAATTGAAACTAATTCCACAGAGGAATTAGGTTACGAGCCATATATATATAGTAACAGTCACCTAACGAATTTGGTGCGACACAAAACGGCTGATGAAAATACGAAAACGCTAACTAAGCTAACAATTCAAAATTGTTGTTTGTCAACGGAAATGCAATTGGATGTTGCGTAATCGAAAAATGAAAATTCGCATTGCATGATAAGTCGTCTGAAGGGGATGTACAACTATATAGGTATATATATATACCTTCTGCTCAAATATAAACGAGACTGGCTCAATAAAACAAAAACGGTTAATTATTCTTCAATATTTACCCCTTCAAAATAGTCACCATTAGAGGCGATACACATATGCCCCCTTTTCTTCCAATCTTCATAACACTTCTGGTAGGCCGCTTTAGGTATGGTCCTTGAACGACTTATACCAATCAAAAATACGTGCACGTGATAGGCAAGACTCCTATGTCTTCTGCAACATTTTCATTGCGTCCGTCGCACTTATTCCATTGTAATAACAAAATTTCAAACAAACTCTTTGCTCAACGTTAATTTCCATAGTAAAATTCGAAAAACACACTCGAGGTTGACTTGTTTATAGTGCCGTAAAAAAAAACTATGTGACAGATCGCGCTCAAATTTGACATGTAAACATATAACAGCCCTGCCAACCTAAGCAAAAAAAGTATGGCCATATGTTATGTCCTTGTCGGATAAAGATAAATCTCGTTTATATTTAAGCAGAAATATAGGATATACCATATAATAAAGTTTCTTGTATTTCTTTTTACATGTTTTATATACACTTAAAATATATTATATACAATTTAAAAAAATATATTTTTTCTATTTACCTCCTACCGCACCCCATTTCATCAAATTCAGAAACGATCAGTAAGTTAGGTTAGGTTTTTCAATGGAAAACTTGTTTTGCGCTTCACTTTAATTGCAGTTCATAATTTATACATTCTGTTTACACTTCAGTCACGGTTGGTTTTAATTAAAATTTCATTAAATTTGCATGTGTCCCTGATATTCCACGCGGAGTACAAATGCTAATATTGCGAATGCATATGGAATTCCTAATTTGTCATGCGAACAGCTGTGGTCATCATGTACTTACTTACATACGCGTATGAGCAACAGAAACCACAGCAACAACAACAAGAACAACAGCAATAACAGCAATAGCATTCGGATCAACAATGACTTTAATTACTGTACATTGTGCGGATGAGAGTGAAGAATTTATAGGAAATTTGCATTATCTGCAAGAAAAAAGTAATCGCTAAATATTTGGAGAAAGTGTACGACATGAGCACAACACGAAATAAATTATAAAACCACATGCACAAAGGAAAATTGTACGCAATATGGAAATCTATAGAAAGTAATTAGAAAATGAAAAACAGAAAAACATCAATAGAATGGTAAATATGGTACGTTTTAGTTAATTGAATTCGTTATTTTCTAATAACAGCATTATATTTCATCTGAGCAAAAGTCTTATGAAATTTCGAGTGCTTAGCTCCTTTACTCTACTAATTATAGAGCAAAGTGTCAAATCTGATTAATCGGTTGTACGACAGCTATATGTTATATTTGTTCGAATTTGTATACCCTGAACAAGATAATTTTCCAGGAACTTCGTAACACCTAGAAGGAAACATCGGAGATCAAATAATATGTATATAAAAAGTATCGGCTTGATGAGCTGAGTCGATTAAGTCATGCCCGTCTGTACTCTCAATTTTAGAGATATCGATCTGAAATTTTGCAGATATTTTTAACTTCCCGCTAAGAAAATTGAAAATTTTCTAAAAATCGGGAAGATATTGGTTTCACCCCATTTTGCAAAAATCGAGTTCTCAACAGATCTCGACGTTTTGAGGGTCGAGGAAGCTTCCCCGAACATTTCTACGATGATGTCCGTATGTCTGTATGTATGTGTGGATGTATGTGTGTGTGTGTAGATGTATGTGACCCTCTTATAACTTTTAAACGGCTCAACCGATTTGAATAAACTAAACGGCATTCCAAAGGGTTTCATTGCACTTGAATTTCGTGTAAGTTTGGACCCAATCGGACCAGTAGATTTCGAGAAATCTCAAAAATCGTATTTTTTCCAAACGACTTGACCGATCAACACCAAAAACTAATCAGTTCTAAACCTTGAAAAAACACATCGTTTGCCGCAAACCGGGTCGAAATCGGTTGATTTACTTGCGAGAGATAGCAAATTTCGAAGAGCTCAAAAGCAGTGAAAAAAGCGAAATTTGAACGTTAGCGTATGAAATTAGAGGGAAGTTGCAGGGATGGCCCTTGAGGCCAACCGTTTTCCACATTTTTTTTCCTGAAGATGCTGCTCATTTATCGGAACCGTCGATATCAGATCACTATAGCATATAGCTGCCATAGAAACTGAACGATCGGTCTAATTCGCAAGAGTAGCGAAAGTTGACGGATAACTGTGAGGACTCATTAGAAGACCTAGTCAGTGTGCACTTTTCTCACTGTAAGAAGAAGACGTGGTAAGTCTTAATAGTATAGGCAATCCGCTCATCCGGAATCATTCCAATTCAATACAGTGACATACTCTTTCTCTATCTCTGCCGTGGGTAAAACCAATTTTTAGGCACACATGAGCCACACTCATAGAGAGTAGTTTTCATACCAAAGGCTGGTAGAAACAGCTCAACCTACTCGAAAAAGTTTAGGCTTATAAGCTTAATTTCCTTCCTCCTGAAAAAATTAGCGCTCCTGGATGCTTGTCCAAAGCGCAATATGAATACACTAAAGACAGATTTGTAGAGATTGCATTCCATACGTTAGTACAATATTTATGGTAATATCGAAAGGCCTCTTGAATATAAGGATCGCTCTTGGAGTTTTCCTGGGCATTTCTGGAGCATTTGACAACGTTTCCACAAAATCTATTATGAAGAGTATCGAGTCAATAGCTCTTGATCCTACCATAGAACCATGGATCAGAAGGCGCTTGATATCTAGAAGGATAAAAGCGGAACGAAACGACGTTAGAATGACCAATGAAGCCTATAGCGGCACTCCGCAATGTGGAGTACTGTCTTCGCTGAAATTAGTGGTGAATAAACTGTTCGGGAACTTGGACGACAAAGCCCCAAAGATCGTGGCACATACAGGCGACATTGCCATCGTAATAAGGAGAAGGTGTCTATGCATCATTACCAGTATTATGACCACCAAACTCAGCACAGTCCAGAATTGAACATCGCAAGGGTGTTTAGGGTTGAATCCGGAACAAACGGTTCTCTTTGTGTTCACAAGGAAATACAAAATCTCTCCATTGAGGCCCCCTTTGATAAATGGTACAAAACTCTCTCTCTAGGACCGCACCAAGTACCTTGGGATAGTCTTGGATAGCAAACTGCTGTAGAAACACAATGGGAAGAAAGAAAGGGAGAGGCCAACAATGCGTTATATGTATGTAGGCAGATGCCCGGCACAACCTTTCTCCCTCGCTCATGCACTGGTGTTACACAGCTATTGTGAGACCAATTCTGCTCTACGGTGCAGTAGTACGATGGACAGGCGTACGGAAATCTATACATGCGCTGTGCATAACGGGAGCTCTAAGAACTAGTGCTAAACTTATCAGCCATATATCTCTTTACAGAAAGCTGCGCGACATAATCGGCGACTACTGTAGGTGAGTTTATATATAGATCCTTCGGGCAGAATAACCTAACATACATACAAACCGACCAAATCGAGATTAAGATTTTTTATATCCTTTAAGGCTATAAGAAATGTACCTGTGAAGGGATTTATAGCTTCAGTGCAGCATCCTACTTAAAATAATAATAATAACTAAAATTAAAATATAATATGACGCTAATAAAACTTCTTCAAAATATCATCTTCCTTCCTTCTTTAAAATACTCACATCTGTTAACGTACCACGAGAGATATGCACGAAGCTTGTAGCCTTTAACATTGCTGGCTTTTGAGCTCTCGCGGCGACTAACACCAGCATACGTTGATAATGGACATGTGAATGGATCCAATCGTGATTGTAAATGGCTCGAGCTACATTGCTACTCTATAAGATATATATATATTAAAATGAAGTATAGAAAAATGAATGATAAAATCCTTGACAAAGCTTTGGAACCTATGAGATCGGGTTATCCATTGTTTCATCGATTACAAATCAAGCGCGGAAAGAAAGTATTATCAGAATTTGTCAAAAATATTCTCATGGACATTCTAAGGACTTATAAGAAGTCAATCTTGTCGGGAACACAAGCTCAGAAAAAAATTAAATGAGAAAGGAATTTCTAGAATTACAAAAGTTCTGAAATGTCGATATTTGTCAATTGAAGAATTTTTTAAGCAATCTCGAACAGTATCCCGACCAGAGCAAGTTATTATATCAAGATTTAAGATTTATGCGGAAATTCTTCATGACAAATGTTTCACATGATTTACTTATAAACATCAACTCAAAACTTCCACAAAATTATTTTTAGTTCGCCACAAGTCCGGTTCCAAATTGCAGTAAAAAATGAATAAATGTTTACAAGGGACAACCCGAACTATTAGATCCCTTGCGTATCTCTTAAACAGAGCCAATAGGGTATTTTTGATGAGCCCGATGCAAATATCTGATAAGAGCACTTTTTAACTCATGCTAGGGACTCTTAAAATTTGTAAATCTAGTCGTGCCCTTTACAAATTGCGCAAGTTTGGTCTCAATAAATTTATTAATCCACTTTATAGGTTTGGCTGCAGAACGGTTGTCGGCCTAGTGACAGGTCACAACTTATTGGCATCACATGCGACACAGATGGGCATTAGTAACGATGACAGATTAAGGAAGTGCAAAGAAGAAGTCATGGGCAAAACGCTGGAGCACCTTCTTTGTTTCTATCTGCCTCTATATAGAAGTCGTTTTAGATATCTAAGAGCTTCGCACTAAATAAAGTATCGAAATTAGTTTTCAAACCTCTCTTAAACTTCGCAAAAAACGTTGATGTTTGACGAATACTGAAACTCGTAGTGAATTGAACCTGCATCTGACCTTACAAATGACCAGTAGAGCCATGTACGGCGTAATAGCCTCAAAATATAACTTAGTCTAACTTTCATAGATTTAAAATGATTTTCTATAACAATTTTGTGTTCTTCAACTCACCGCATCGATCAGTTGCTGCCCGTAATGGCAAATTAAGTAAATTTGAATCAGCGACGAAAAGAGGAAAAGAAACAACTTAACCATATAGTCCGGTTCAGCGTCCATAGTCATTTGGAAGCCGACAAAGCAAATTACAAATGACGAAGTCATAAAGTTCACCAACAATGGCACACCCAAAACTTCATTCATGATGTCCGACAAACTGGATACCAGTCAATTTAGAAAAACCCGAATATGGTAGTTATATCTAAAGCAATCACTCACCTCAAAATATTGGCATGATATGCAATTATGTCGCAAAGAAATTTCATATCCTTGCAATAAGCTTTGCTCGCTCTCGCATTAAGCCTCGGCGCTCTCGAAATTTTACAATCAACTAATTGCGGTCGATACTCAGTTATCGTCTGTGCAACATACTCATAATGCATAATAATTTGCGTCGCCATAGCACATAATACCAAATCACTAGCAATCTGTCCCGAAGCCGAATGATAGCCAGCGATGCTTTGTAAAGTATAGTAAAGATAGAAACTCCAATGATCATGCCAATTCCAAGGAATATAGCTCTCATAGGGCAGCGTTTTGTTAACACTGCGCACTTGCAACCAACAATCGTAGATTTGACGTTGCATATATGGATAAAGATTGTAGGTCCAAATAAGTAGCATGAAGATTGTTGCAAAGCCGCTCATTACAATCGTGCATTGACACAAGTGCCTACGCAAGTTCATCATTTTCTGCTGCGGCTCAGTGTGTGGAAATATGGTATACATAAGCTGCAGAAAACGTGTCATCTCGGCTTTCTTACGCCGCATATAGAACATTTTTATGGTACCGACGAGTACAAAACCAGCATAAGAAAGCGTCATAGTTGCTTGTATGAAATTCTTACTGACCATTAAAACTGAGAAAATCAGTTCGGAAAGTAGCCAGATGTTAAGATTAATCAAGCCGAAGTAAAATACAGCATTCTGGAGTGGACCGCCATTAGTGTTCCACAAGTCAACGCCAACGCTGCGATAAAAAAAACTTGGTATACGTAAGAAGGCTTCGAAGCTTATAACATTTGGCATATTTGATGCGATAACCCGTAAAAGCGCTGAAAATAAAACAAAATAAGAGTAGATTTTTTTAAATGGTTTTTAAATTTTTTTTACCTAAACCTAATTTATAATGGTCTGAACAAACGAGATTTTTAGAAAACTGAAAGATTTTCAGCTATCTTGAGACCGCTATTTGAGAGCGCAGCTGTTATATGAAGGGCTACGAATAAATTATCACCTCAATACACTCAAAAGCCATAGCCAAAGCGCCTGCTGTCTTCAAATCGCTAAAGCATAAGGATTGGCAAATCGAATAAACTCTTGTATAATAGATGTTGTGTTTCGATAACGGGAAACGATCAAGATATCCCAAATCTTGCGAATAAGCTCTGACTATTTATTATTTTCTGTTAGAAACAAGTTAAACAAGATACCACAAATTTCAAGCACAATTATTTCCACTTTCTGTCGATGTATAAAGTATGAAGCTAGTTTTCTACGATCCCAAGATTTTTACAAAGGTATAATGAAAAAGACGTGGTTAAAATCGAACAAACCTTTTTTATTTAAAGAAAATTAATTATTTATAATAGTTAAATATCCCTCTGATCGATGTTTTGTTGAGCATCTTCTGGTATGACACTCATTAAAGTTTTTAAAGAAAAATTAATTATTTATAATAGTTAAATATCCCTCTGATCGATGTTTTGTTGAGCATCTTATGGTATGACACTCAATACAGGATGTTTTTTCAGACAACAGGTTTTTACGAAGAAATTAAACGCATATAAAATATGGCCAAGAAATTAGCTACATTATAAAGATAAGGGTTTTCCGCTATGTTTTAAAAATGGTTTCGGGCAAGTAAACGCCGCGGCTGGCTCGAATAAATGCTAGCCGCGAGGTCCAATTTTCGACCACTTTTTGCAGCAATTGGGCCGTATGTCAGCAATAACGCGTCTTTCAAGGCGCCAATAGTTTTGGGCTTATCTTATAGACAAGTGACTTTACATAACGCCAAAAAAAATAGTCCGGCGGTGTTAAATCACATGATGTTGGTCATCAAGCCACAGGCCCACGACGCGAAATAATGCGTTCACCAAAAGTTATTATTATCTGAAATTGAGTGTCACAAACCAATTAACAGCTCCCATATACTTGATTGATTTTTTGGATAAACTTCTCGATATAGAAACAGGAGAGGGAAGAGATGTCAAATTGCTTGTGTAAAGCAAATTGTGATATTAAGACTCTTTCGATTACTTGATCCTCGTTTGACAATAGTAGAAACCTAAGACCTACTGTATGATAGTCAGAACACACCTGAAGTAACAGCTCCTAGATAAATAACAATAAAGCAGGTGTTCTGCTTTTTGCAACCACTGTATTTTTTTATAATTTTTTTTTGGGAAGTATTAAATTTTCACTGCACTCACACTAAAGACTCCATTAAATAAGCATCCTGTCTTATCTACAAAATAAGCTCTATTTATTCAAACACTAATTATAACTTAACAATATAATTACAGATGTACATATTCATCTATATATGTATATATATTCCATACTTTATTGTTCTAAACTGCAACTTATTCAGTGAAAATCCCTTATTAAATTAAACAATGTTCGAGTTAAGCAGCAAGAATACAATAGCATTTGACTTGCTCTTTTAGCTTTTATATCCTACCCAAATCGAATATATGCCCACCAAAAACAGCACAATATAATTTTAAGTGCTTAGGCGCAGTTGCGTGTTCAGGCTTTAAATGATAACATTTAATATTCAGCCGAAAATTATATGTTGTTGCAAGGCTCTTACTATATTTCATTTTCTAAAATGATTAGAAATGCCAAATTATTATGCCTGCCAAATTCAATGTAAACATTCATTAGATCGAGCTAATAATATGCAATTACGCCGTTATTATACAATACAAAGACACACACACTTCCGCAAATATGCAAATACAAAGGAAAGCTAAGGCTACTTATGATTTCTTAATTTAATATTAATAAATACACTGAAGGAAAATTCGCTGCAATATGCATGATTTGTTCAAGGAGCCCTACATGTATCGTAAAAGTACCAACAAATGGGTAAACGAGGATTTGCTTTTATATTTCGGGATTAGAGAACAAAAACAAACATTAATTATCGAAAATCGCTTTATTGTTTTTCAAAATATTCTCCATTAAAATCTATACACTTTTGCTTGCGTTTGAACTAATTGTCGAAGCACTTTTGCCACTCTGGTTTAGGTATGTATCTCCAAAACATGAGTTTTGAACGCATCAACCGATTCTTCAGATATCGAAAAACGTTGACCGTTTAGTCGTTCGGTTCCAAGTCAGGACTATACGGTGGATGACTTATCAAATCGATGTATTGAGTGCTCTAAAATGCAGTTAAAGTCGATGCGTGAAAGCTGGCATTGTCGTGGTCTGAGATTCATCTTCCCCGATTAGTTTTCCTCATTTCTTGAAAGGTGAATACCAAGCACATGATTGTATACCACTTAGAATTTACTGTTCTGCTTTGTTCTAGTGGTATGGTTGAGACGTGTCCAGTGTTTCCCAAAAAAAAATAAAAACACACGCAACCAATTGTTTAGAAGTGCTTCAGGCTCGAATAACTTTTGTTGGACTCAACTCATCTGGAAACACCCATACAGTCGATTGCTGTTTACTTTCTCATGCGCATAATTCGACGATTTATCACCTGTTACGATGTCATAGACGAGTTTTGAAGCACCGCTATCGTTTTTTTTTTTACATTTACCCGACCAATCAGCACAGGCCTTTTTTAGCGATTGAAAAATTGTTTGGAATTAAACGTGAACAAATTGTGTGTTTATGTTTCATGCAATATTTAATGTATGCTGGTACTACTTGTGCCTATAATTGTCTCAATCTCACGATAGCTTCCAATACGATCTTGCAATAATACAATAGTTTCCGCAACAACAACCAATTTTGGAGGACCTTCACGAAGTTTGTCTGGGATCTCGATTGAAGTCACCATACCATAATCGATAATGCACTGGTCCCTGATGGAGCTTCATAACCCAAAATTTAATCAAATTCATTGATGGACTGTTGCTGAATTAATCCACGTCGAAATTTGTAAAAAACAAAAATCGCTTGAAAAGGTTAGAGATGATGGCCGAGATGAATATTTTAAGTTACTGTAAACAACACAAAGAGCGCTCGTATGTCAATACGTTCCAAATATATATATGTTATATCATCAAAAATGTCAAACTTTACTATAAAGTAGTGGTTATCAGATTGCAAGACTTACTTGTTAGGTTTGCATAAAACGACGTGCTCCAGTCTGAGGATTCAACAGCTGGGAGCAAAATTTTACGTTTCAAATTTAAAGTTTGCTTTTACATTCCCCATTTCCTTCAGGATTCAACAGCTGGGAGCAAAATTTTACGTTTCAAATTTAAAGTTTGCTTTTACATTCCCCATTTCCTTATACTTCCTCTACTTAAAACTAGTTAAATTCGACGAAATTGTTTAGTGTACCTTAATTGCATTTGAACTTCGTTATTGTTATTCTCATTTCACTCTGGTATGATTGCCAAACTATAATGAGATCGAGTTCATTGGATACTCTGACAGAGTCAGAGTTGATTCAAAGCGTAAAGCGAGACCTTCAAAAATAAAATATTTTATGGACCAAAAAAATAGAGGGAGTTGAAATTTCATAGCCATTCGACAGGAGATTCTAACTCGCTTTGACTTTAGAGATGGTTTGGGGCTTTCGCCACACTCCATGTCTAGCCATATTGAGCAATAGAAATAAGAGATAAGGCTGGTGAAAGATTAAATGAAAATTTTATTGTATTGAAAGGGGAAAGAGAATTAAAATCTTATGTATTTCAAGAAGAATCATACATAATTTTGAAACCATTAAAGGAATATTTGAACGCTTTGCAAAAATAAAGGAGTAAAGGATACACGTAATATACCGAAAATAAGAAACAATCAGCATAAACCTCCAAGCAAGCTTCTCATAAATTAATACATTTTACTATATAAGGAGTAGTTTCATCTATGTAAGGAGACCCTATAATAGTTAACATAACCTAACCCTGACCCGGAGATATTTTTCCACATTAAATACAAAACTGAATTAAATACAGGTCTGCATTTATTTTCTATAAATGGAGCTACAGTTACTATATCTAAGTGAATACTACATATTTTAGGTTATAAATATTTTGACCTAAGCGATTTCCTCAACAAAAATTAATCGTCATACATAGTACGCAAGACCGTAAAGAATTTGTACGATATTTGCATGATCTACAAAGAGAATAAAAAAGAGAGATTGAGAGAAAGATATTCCCAACTAATAAACAAGCTTTAAAACTGTATGTTAGTATTTCGCTCACAATGGTCATGGTGTCCAGTGAGATTGTTATGAAGTTTGTTGCCTTCAATGCCGCGGCCTCTTGAGCCCGTTTGGCAACCAGTATTGTCATTTTCTGAAAACTTACATCCGCATGACATAAATTAGGAAAAAAAGCAGCACTTGCCACATTTGTACTCTGGAAAAAAATGAAATTAGTAAAATCTGTACAGATTATTTACAAATACGACAGTAGTACGAAGTTCTGTCCTACCGGATGAGACACAAATTTAGTACCTTAAATAAATCACTGAGAATAGAAGATAATGAATGAATAACCCAGCACCATCGGGGAGTATATGGTAGATAAAAGTAGAGAGGTTTCAAATAACAACTCCTGCTCCAAAATAGCTGTAAACTTATATTTTTTGGGTATTTTCCATTTCGTAACCAGAGTATTTCTTTTTCGTGAACCGATTTTAAATAAAATTACGTGTTTTAACTTCACTTCTTCTGTGACACTATGAGTTTAAATTTCTAAACAAATTTTTTCTTTAAATCTATATACAATCTAATGTCTACTCACCGCATCCATTAGTAATTGTCCAAAATGACAGATGAGATACACTTGCAATATGGAAAAAAATAAAAAGACCGCCAACTTTAATAGTAGGTCAAGTTCTCTAGCAACGGACATTTGAAAACTGAGAAAACAAATAATAGCCGACGATGTGAAGAAGTTCACAAAAAGCGGCAGACCAAACAGTTTGTTCAATGAGGAGGACAAACTGACGCATGTAAATTAGGTAAATAAAAATTAGTATATAAACTTATTTTTCATCATAATTTTCACAAAACAACAAACCTCAACAATTCATTGTGATATGCCACAATATTCGATATAAATTTTATATCCTCCTTAACCGCCTTAAGTTCCACAGCGACTCTCGCCAATTGCTGCAAACTATTACTGGTCTCTACTCCATGCACTTCGGCAAATTTTGTTTGATATCCCTCCAAGCTGCGAGAAATGTGATCGTAATGCATGATCAAATGCATGGATAGGATGCAGAGCAGCAGATCGTAGGCGATCTGTGCGCAAGTCGAGTGCCAGGCGGCAAAACTCTGCGTCACATAAATCACATAGTAAGTCCAATTATCACGCCAATCCCACGGATACATAGCTTGATAGGGCAGAACGCGTTCAATGTGTACGTGCAACAAATTCGTATAAATGAAACGTTGCGAGATCGTATACAAATTGTAAATCCAAATGACCACCATAAAGGTGATCGTATAACTCATAGTTGCCAACTTATTCAAACGAAGATATTTACTCAACTTTATGGTTTCTTGTTCTGATTTCGTATGCGGAAAGAGCGCTTCGAGGCGTTGGAAAAACACGGTTCTTTCAGTATGATAGTTAATGAGATAGTACCACTTGACAAACGCCACCACAATGAAACTAACGTAGGATAATGTCATGATGGCTACTATAAAGTCAGTTCTGATGGCCCCGATGATGTAAATACACTCAGCAAAGACTGTTAGAAACAAATTGATTGAGGTAAGGTACAATACAAAATGTTGCCTGATACCATCGCTTGGACCCCACAGTTTAATGCCGATATTGGCACAGAAAAAACTCGCCAATCCGAGGAATTCTTCAAAGTTTATAATGGTCGACATGACGGCGGTTGTTCTCGCTCTTGAATAGAGTAAACAATTTTATATAAAGTAGCTAAGACCTTTATTAAGATAAGATTACTTTATGGACAATCGAATTATATATACAAATTCTAAACGATTCTCTAAATAGATAAGTAAGTAAGCGATCGAAGAATGCAGAAATAGCTATATCCGTTTATATAGCAGTCGCCGGATGGCCCAAATGTGACTAATGTGACTAATGCAACACACAATCTTTAAAAACTAGCAAACCTATATTTGCAATATTTGCAGAATTTTATTTACGGCACTGAATTATTTTTCAGAAAAAAGATTAAAAGCAAGCAACTCATGTCTCATCTGTTCATTTAACACACTTCAAAAAGGAATGCGCCAAAATGTAGGCAACGTTTTTTGTACCAAAGTAATTTTTTGAATTCTGGTGTTTGAAAAAAAATTATATTAGATGATGTTTTTAAACAAGACTTTTGTATTTTTCTCTTTTTCGACTTAAATTTATAGAACGCAAGCCACTTGCTTGAGTTTTGAATGGAAAATTATGTTTTTAAAGAAATTTTCCAGAATCTGATGAGAGAGAGAAAACGATTTATTAGCTGGTTTGAATATGTAGCTGTAGGTTTGAACACTTAGCCATATTTTCAGCGCATGCGAACCATGTTGTTTTTTAACTTATACTAACACTCGCCTTGAATCTTCTTATAATTGCTAAAATATAATTGCTGAATAAAAAGTATTGCTAAAAATGTGTCACAGATTCTTAAAGTTCTCTTTAAGCAACAATAACTTCTAATGTTTCTTTGTGATTAACTCATTTAGTATCCAGAAATTTGAAGCATCTAGAAAACTGCACCGAATAGCATTTGGCGCGATCTTTAGTTTTTCCTTCGAGAAATTATGAGTTTTAGTGGTTCATCGTTCAAATAGTGATTGTTTTGCGTTCACATATATTTTTTCCAGCGGTATATTCAGGCAGTCGAGACGTCTAAAGGCAAAACTTTCTCAAACTTAAAAAATTTGCAAGCGCCAACTTTGCTTAACGATTAGTCGAGCTACTACTCTCATCTGGGTTTCACAAATGGAGAATTCAATGACTTTTAAGTTATCTCCTGACAGATTTTATAAGAAGCTTCTACATGGCAGTAATACACTCGAAGGCTGTTGTAGACTGCCAGTGGATGTTGAACCATTGGAAAAATATGTTGGAGCTTGGTCGGATCGCAGTAACAATATCTAACATCTGCACCACAGTAATTCATTTCATTTATTTACAGTTACACGACCTTAAGAAACTGCGCGCGTGAAGTAAATAAGATCAGGAAAGAGCTAAGCTCATGTCTCACATACTAATTTAGTTTAACCAAAAAATCTTTTACTTTTTCTTATTGCAGGCACAATATTAAGTTGTAAAATTGAATTACCCAGACGGACAAAATAAAAAATCGACTTCAACTAACCGCGAAAGTGAATGCGAAAGACGTGCAAAAATTGAATTCAAGGCTCCTTAAATACATAAACAAGCGTATAAATATTTAATAGCAAAATAAAAACCGGCACAAAATAGAATTGAAAGCAAATTAATAAAATAAAATAACTAATTTATAAGCATATAAATATATATGTGTGTGTGGTAGACAGTGCATGTGCGCAAGGCTAATGCTCACACATATTGTTTTGCGCCTTTTTGCTCAAGAAATTCATCATTTAGCGCTTAATGTGTTCACACGCATTAACTACGCCCTTGCCACCGCAGCTGCGGCGCTTGCAGCACTACAACCACTAATGCAATTTTTATGCTTTTGCACACGCCTGCGGCCCTTACGGATATATGCGTAACCTTTTCTATGCTTACAATTTCATTATAGATTCACTTTTTTTGTTTTTGCAATATGGCTTATGCAGAGATTTTCAAATGATTGGTTACCCCCAGCTGCGGGACTGTTTTAATGGCATTTTAATATTGCCTGAAGTTGGTCGCAATGAAAGCAAGAGCGTATGTTAACTATGTAAAGGTCGCACCTTGCCTCCGGCTGGGCGCTTTACGTTTGAGACGCCCATCAGCTTTGCGAAGTGTACGGCCTGACAGTTAAATGCGAGTTGATGGCAATATATTAAAATCCATTAACGAGTTGATAGCCACATGAATTATGCACATAAAACCCCTCAGTCTAGTTACAAATTAGTTATCTTAACGAGTTGGGTGGAAATGGCTGGAGATATGTAGTACAGATAATTAGAAGTGAAGTGTGCTTAACGATTGATTACGTATACGCAGAGGAGGGCATTCATATTGAAGAATATTAAAGAGAAATGCGTAACTAAGAAGCGTTAAATGACAGATGACAAATAAATATTATGAAAGAGTTGATTCTAACATCAAGTCTCCCAAATTTCCGGTATTTTCGGTCCGAAATTTTTTTTTTTTTTGATTAACCTTCAACTCGTAAAACTTGTGCAATCCTCTATTTTACTATTGGACTAAAACATTTAACTAGCAAAGAGTACTCTCTCTTGCAACAGTGGTATAAATATATGCATATATTTGAAAAACTCGAAAATTATTATAGCTCATCCCATAAATACTCTTTATTTTGAATTGATTTGTATTGAAAGCACTTTGTTACTCAAAAAACGGGGATGTAAGCTCAATACTTTTTCTATATCGTGCTTCCACTTTTTCCAACCATTCCAACTACATTTTCTTGAGCTCTTCAAAAACGTTGTTTGACTTGAATAAAATTCTGCACCATCAAGCTTATATTTGATATTTGAGAACAGTACAAAATCACTGGGAGCTTCGATTGAAGAATATATTTCATGTTACACTTTTTATATATAAACCCAGCTCTGATCTAGTCGGTTGATGCCTTATTTGTTATACAATGGCACAAAAACTCATTCACGACTGAAGCCTTGGAAAGCTAGAAGCTAACAGTACATTCATCGATCGAAAAACAAATAAGCGCTACGGATAGAACTCTCTCTTTTTATTTGCGGAAACTTTGAGAGATATCACAAAAACCTTCTATATATATGGTCTTTGTGAGCGCACGCCAATGAACCCGAACTTTCATTCAGCCAAAAAGTGTCAACTCTATAGCATTTGGATATATTTATTCTACCGCTACAAACAAATAACATAGAACCTACCTAACCCCAAATTAGAGAAATTGTGGATTTTTTATATTTCTAAAACAAAATATTCTTCGACTTGCCCCTATTACAACTTACTTGGCATATTCTTGTTTTTTAAGAGACAAACATCAAAAAAATATATGGACGGCTCTACGAAAAAGCTAGCGATCAAGCTTATTCATCAGCAAACTCGTTAGGGTGTCTGGTCATAGCAAGATTGCAGGTAACTGCAAAGCCGAAGAGCTAGTTAGCGGAGAAAGTTCATCTCACCGCAATCATAGGAGCTCTTACTGGACATTGGCATTCATACAGTAAGGCTAAAAATCTTGTCGGTCGTAAGTTGTCACAATGGAGTGAGGGTGTGGTGGAGACGTCTTGGCACTTTCTCCTCCATTGTCCTGCTTTTGCAAAACTGAAGTTTAAACATCTCGGCAGGCTTAACGTTGGCGAATAAGGAGACATAACCAAAACTGGCATTGGCCGTCTCAACAAATTTGTGATCGGCTCAAAGTGTTGTATCGGTTTGTGATGGTCTTATGATTTATTATATAGGCGTTTTATGTACCATAATAGAACGGCATTCTAAGCTGTCCAAGTCAGATTCCTGTTAAGATCGACCTTTTAACCTAACCTAAACCACCCTAATTTTTTAAATCTTAGCAGTTCTTTTAGGAGAGCCAGGTCTCAGGTTTTGTGACTTTTTTTGGAAAATCATCGCAAAAAACTGCTTGCTAATTGCTCAAGAATCTACCAATACCATAAACACTTAAATTGAAAATATTTACCCTTCTAAGCACAATACATCCTCGTATTCCATTTATAGGCGGAACTCATGCTACTTATCTTGATCAAAAAATTTCAAACCTAAAAATACTGTTCAAATCATGTGAGAGTGGCTCTTATAGCCTATGTTGCAGGTTACTTTATGTATATGATGTCTTTTTGTCTGTATACTCGTATAACAAACGGTGCCCAATTTTTTTAAGTAATTGCTTAATATTCGCCAATATTCGCAACTTTCAACAGTCAAATCAAAAAAGTTCTACTAAAAATTGTTTACGCAAAAACAACAACAAATGTAAAAACAACAACTCAGGTATATTGAATTCACGAGCTCAAGAGCTCACGGTGCAAATCGGGTTTTCGGTGCAGTTTTAAATTGAAAACGACTTAATAGGAACTTGTGTGCTGTATGCATGTATGTATGAAGTGATTGTTTGCATTAGCGAAGTGCTCTGCGAGTCGCTACCCGACGCAGAGATGATGGAAAAAATCCTTTCGGGACCACAGGTTAACAGCGCTTAGAATAAATTCGTTTCAATTGCCAACGCGGCGCACATGCAACGTGCAACTGACATACACAGTCACATACACATATTTGTTGTTGCATGCGTTGGCCGTCACCACCTCAAACATGCCACTGAGCTGAAAGCTGCAAGCATACATGCAAATAAATGCAGAATACAAACATACTCACATACACATGCGTGTGAGGCACACACCCACACACCCACATACAGCCATCCACACATATGGACAGCGCTACGTCGACGTGTTTGATCTAAAAATTTTACCGCCGCCATCAGCCAAGTGTAGCATTGTTATTTAAGTTATTGTTGTGATTGTCTGCCATGCAGGCCACATACTCGTACAACAACGTGCACACAATAAAGTTAACGCCATTGACTTCATTTATGCCCACTCTCACCATCCTTGGACGCCTGCCACTGGCTAGCTGTTGCGAACAGCGGAAATTTCGAAAATTACAGCAGCAGAGATCGAAGACCGTTAGTCGTTGAGCAAACAAGCAATTTGCCATTTATCACGAAACATAACGCGGAAATGCAATTGATACACATACAAACACACAGCCTACCTACAAATATTGTAAACTTTATTCCGGCGACATGAACGCAGACCCACAGCCAAGTTTTAGCCAACGACGGCTGCCTGTAATTG